ACAACCGAACTCTCACTCGCTCCCACGATCCAAGTTCATAGACACCATCCTTTCACACGAGTCTAGACGCAGCGGCTCAGACTAGCGCTTCACTCAGACACCATGAAGTAATAATCTGAATAAAAAAAAAAGAAAAAGAGAGTGGAGCTCAGTCACCGCAGCTGAAACTGCCTCAGCCCTCACCAGACTGCCAGCACCCAGTGGGACCCCACCTGAAGGGGTGTGACCAGCTGCAAACAGCCATCATCCCTCATCCAGCTGCCAGCACCCCAGTGAGACCCCACCCTGAAGCAACAAGATGCGGCTAATTTGCATACTGAAGGCGGCGACAGCAGCAAGCTGTCGAGGTCCGGGACCCGGATCCCTGACCTGGCGGCGGGGGCAGCAAGTGAGGCTGTCCACGGGACCAAGACATGGATCTGTGACCTGCCGGGCGGGGGGCAGTGCTTGAGGCTGTCCGCGGTCCCGGGACCCAGATCCGTGACCCTTCCCAGCGCGGCGGCAGCTCGCACAGGGGCGGATCGGCCGGGGTTGGGCAGGGCAGGATGCCTGGCCTCTGCCCAGCCCCAGTCACTCTGGGCAGGTGAGCAGCGCAGAGAGCCTCTGGACAGGGGAGGCAGGCCGGCGGAGGGCCGGCCTGTACTCCCCACATGGCGGTGGTGACAGCTGTGAGCGCACCAAAGTGGAGCCTGCAGGCTGAGCTGAAGTAGCGCCTGCAGGCCATCAGCGCCCAGGAGTGGCTGCGCAAGATCCGCCTCCTGGCCCAGAAGGTGCAGGATCGCAGGGACAGCCACCGTGGCGGGCCAGACTGACATCCTCCTGGCCGCACCACGGGGGTTTGCGGATCTGCAAAGCCAGAGGCCTCCGGTGTGCACATACCCCACTGGCGGGCAAACATCCCCCAGCACACTGTCACCCTCCCACGCCTGCAACAGTTGCAAACCAAGGCGTGCACAAGTTCCCCCTGCCTCTCCACCGCACTTCCATCAACCCGGCATGCCTAACACCCCCACAGGATGTGCACACATCCCCTCTGATGCGCTCACGTCCTTTGGAGAGTGTCTGGGTGTTCTGGGTGCTGAGGGTGGGCGCCTGTGAGATGAGAGTGAGAGGGCGGAGTGGTGATGCCCTGTTCCCACGGAGGCCAGTGCAGCTACGAGATCACCTCTGGGGGGTTAATGCAGGTGCTGAGGCAGGAGCAGGTGCAGATAGACACACCTGGTGGGCACAGACGGCCCTCGCTGAGGTGCCTTCGGTCAGCGTTCAAGATCAAGAACCCAGAGGTGGGGAGGAATTCCGTCCTCTCAGTGAAACAGTGGGATATTCGGACGACTGTAGAGGAGGAATGTGCACTTTGGGTGCCAGCACCCATGAGCGAAGGCTACCCTGACTGAGCCTCGCTTGCTTGGGGCCTAGCTCACTCCTGCCGGGCAGCGGGTGACAGGACGTGCTTTTCCGAATTAATGAGAGAAAACGTTGATTCTCCTGCTGCCCACGAAGGTGGAAAGTGAAGTGGGGAGACGTGGGGAGTGAGCAAGGTTCCCTGTCTGGGGGTTCCAAATCTGCTGTTGGTTTATTTCACTGCTGACTAGAGATATACAGGGTGTCCCCCCAAAATGTATACACACTTTGAATACCTACTAATTCCAATGGTTTTAAGCATAAGAAAGAAACAACAATGGAGCTGTTATCTGTTAAAAGTGTGGGCACAAACAGGTAGTTGGACATTCCCTGAGGGGTCTCAGATTGGAGAGGATGAAGGCCAGACTGAGGGGCCCCTTCTCCCCCCCCCCCCCCCCGACCCCAGTGCACGAATTTCGTGCACCGGGCTACTAGTCTTATTATAAGTTGCTTTCCTTCTATTTCTCCTGTATATTAAAATTAGAGTATTATAATGATTCTTTAATTATGCAGATAGGTAATATTAACTATGATTTCCATTTCCAGTTAGCAAAGGGGGCAATATAAAATATTTATTATAAAAAGGCAGCCATAGATCTAGTAAGATTAAAAAATCAATTTCTAAAAAATATACAAGCCCTGGCTCATTTGGTTGGGTGTCATCCTTGCACCAGGAGGTTACCGGTTCCATCCCCGGTCAGGGCACATGCAAGAATCAACCAATGAATATATAAATAAGTGGAACAGCCAATCAATGTTTCTCTCTAAAACAAAAACAAAAGTCTAAAAATGAAATCTACATTTGCTCAAAGTACATGCTAAGAAGGCCATCTAGTGGTAAAAGGAATTACACAAAATTAAATTTTTAAAGCTTAAAGTCTATTTTGCTTTGAATTTCTGTAATTCATAGCTCATAGAGCTTTTGTGAGTTTATAGCATCTACTGGACATGAAAACACTGTAAAACTGTAAAATACTAACTAGATCCATGTAAATTGCTACTAGCACTCTTAAAAATGAATATGAGTAAAAACACTTAGAAAAATGTAATCCTCTAATATACTTAATAATAAACCTCAATTGTCTCATTAAAATTTTTAGAATAAAATATTACTTCAATAAAATTCTTCTAAAGTTCTTCATCAGGCAATTTAGCAATATTTATGAACCAACATCCTTTAAGA